CAATATTTTGAAGCCACAGAATCAATTATGGATTGCGCGTATCCCTGTGATTGTGTGGAGAGGTTGTCATGTGTAATGAAAACGTATGGTCCTGTAACTCCCCAAGAGAAAAGGGCTGCTGCTGAGAGGCAGGGATGGAGCTGAATCCAGATACAATGCTCCAGTCCTCTACACGGCAGGGTTCCCAGAACTTCCCTGATGCTTATCTCCCAACGTGTGCTTCCCTGGTGCTCTCCTGACCTTTTAAGCAAGATGTGGGGTTTTTTTCTACTTGCAGAAAATGGGCACCAGGCCAAGCAATTTAAGAGTCACTTGTAGGTACCCAATATAATGGCACACTTCGGGATGATTTTGGTAGAACAAAGGCAAGAAAAAATAATCCTTTTCTTGGTTTCATGCATTGATAAGGATTATTGTTTGCTGCTCATGTGTCTAGTAAAAGGTAGGCCAATTTCAGTTGCATGTATATTTCCTTTGGGTATAGTATTTTGTTAAAAAAGCTTACTAAGAAATCATATATTTTCAAGTGACAAGATTAAATCTATCATTTATACTACTTAATAAATGATCTTGAGAAAGTTTTGTGAAATTTTTTTGACAGTTCCTCCAGAAATGAGGAAATAATAATAAATAAATTATAAATGATAGAAATGCTGGTATACTTGTTTTTTTTGTGTGCTGATCATAGAGATAATGAAAATAAATTTATTATTCAAGTGAAATATATCTACGTATGAGAAATAGTTTCAATTATATCTGTTTGCTTACTAGATAGCCTTCATGTCTTTGTAGAGAATTTTTATTAAATTATTATCTTCTATATTATGTGGAAAAGTGTAAAATATTACTTTGTTTCTTAGAGTTAGACTTGTGTCGTTTTCATTTGTTTAGACTTTAATTTTCGTTCTGAAATAATTTCTGATTCACATCAGTTGAAAGATATTACAGACAGATGGCCTGTAAATGTTAAATATTTTAGCCTAATGGTTGCCTTTTACATAATAATAGTGGAACATCAAAACTAGGCATTTACCATTGTTACTGCCTGTGTGTACTTTAGTACATGTGCATATTTGTGTAAATCTTAAAGCAATCAAGATTAGCACTACCCATCACCATTAAGATAGTCTTCATGATATCCTTTTTTTCTGTTCCTCTTTCTCAAAACCATTCATTTGTTTTCTATTGCTATAGCACTGCTTTGATAATTTTAGATAATACGTGGACTCAGGTCATTTGTTACCTTTTGGTATTAGCTTTGTTTCATTCAAAATAAGCATTTGAGATTCAACCAAGATATACATTAATAATTTACACATTTTATTGTTAACTATCCCATGGTATGGTAACAACACAGATTTTTTAGCTATACGATTCAGAGGCATCTTGATTGTATTCAATATTTGGCTATAAAAACAGAACTGATAAGAATACTCATATGTTGATTTTTGTGTGGAAGGAAATATTCATTTGTTTGGGGAACATGGCCAGGAATGTGTTTGCTGGCCTGTTGGAATACATGTTTCATTTTATAATAAACTAACAAAACTGTGCTTCAGTGTGATAAGCAGGATTGTGCATTCCTGCCCTTTTGGATAGATCCATTTTGTCAGGAAACTTACTCGTGTTTTGGTAATATTATTTCTGTTACGATTACTACTAAACTGTCCATTAGATGTGGAATGTAACTCATTGTGGTTTCAATTTGCATTTGTAGTATGGTGAACGACATTAAGCATTTTTCATGTATTTATTTTATATCTGTATGTCTTTTCATGTATCTTGCCAAAATTCTAATTATTATTTTTTTAAATATTTAGGTTTGAGATGATATGTGTCCCTTGCCATGCACAAAATTTGCAATGAAATCTGACTGGTCAATACCTTGTCCTTTACTCATTTTCATGGCACTTGTCACAGAACACTTTTTTCTTAATTTGACTGAAGCCTAATTTTTTCAACCATTTTTCTTTCATGCATTATGCTTTTACTATTATGTCTAAGTACTGTTTACCAAACCCTACAATTGGAAGATTTTCTCTTGTAATATCTTCTAAAGGTTTTATAATCACATAACTTGTATGTAAATCTATGATCCATTTTAATTTTGGATAAAATGCATGCTTCCGTCAAGACTGTCTTTCTTTCTTTTTCTGTTTTTGCCTGTGGGTAACTAATTATTTCAACAATGCTTGTTGAAATGGCTATCATTACTCCCTGTCAAAAATCTATTTGCTGAGTAAATATGCAAGATATTTCCAGATTGTCTATTTCACTGATCTACTTGCCAAACCAGTCCCCAATATTGCACAGTCTTAGTTTCATAGCATTAATCATTCCTTTCCTTCAATTCTTTTCAAAATTATTTAGCTAGTCTATGACCTAACATCTCTTTAAATTTTAAAACAAACTTCTCTATATCTAAAAAAAAAATCCCAAAAGCCTTTCTGGGGTTTTGATAGAAATTACATTGCAAGAATATCCTTTTACTGAGAATTTTCACCTCTGCCAGCCATGTTGGATTTTTTTCAATCCATAATTACAGGTCTTTTTTTTATTTAGTTTTATTCTTTCAACAGAATTTTGCAGTTTTCAGTGTGTAATCCTTACATATGTCATATTAGGTTGCTCTAGGGAAATAGAACCAAATACATATACATATATAATATCACTATGAAATATTAAATCACTTATTAAGGAACTAACTCATGCAGTTATGGAATTTGGCCAGTCTGACATTTGTAGAGCAACTGATCAGAGGATATGAGTAGATGGTCTGTCCCTATTCTCATCTGTCTTCCAACCCGACCACCTGAGCAGATGCCATGATATTCTCTAATAATGAGGCTGAGAATTAGAGCTCTCTTCCTCCCTGCCTTGTTTACCTATTGGGAAACCCTTCTTCATATTCTGGCACATAACAGCTTTCTTTGTCTTGTCTATTCTCAGGCCAAATTCCTTTCTATATCTGTTGCCAGCATCCCAAAGGGAATAAGTGTGGGACATCTGTTTGACATTGACCTTGAGAGAGGACTCATTGATTATAAAGGACCAGGGCTCACAGTGGAAACTGGCCTCACTTTGCCTCATCCTTTGTGAATAAAGTATTGTTCTGTGCCTCAGTATATCATGTGGATTGTGACTATGGCTGGCAATCTCAATCTCTGGTATGACAGCTGGAAATTCAAGTAGGAGTTGACACTATCTTGAAGTAGATTTTCTTTTTCTTCTGGGAAACCTCAGTTTGGAGTCTGAAAGTCTGCCCACTTACTGGATGAGCCAACACACATCATCAATGTCAATCTTATCTAATTAAAGTCAGTTGACTGCGAAAGTTAACCAAATCTATCATGTATGTGTACATAGCTAGATTTGAGTTTAAGTAACTAGTGATGTCCCTATATAAACTTACATATCACACATGCTTTGTTAGATTAATAACCAAGTCTTTCCTTTCTCTGTTAATGGTAATGGATTTTTAACTTCTGTTTTTATATATTTATTGCTAGTATATAATGACTGTTTAAGAATATATGGCTTTTATCCATTGCCTGACTTAACTACTTTGTAGGTCTAAAGAGTAGATTCATTTCTTTTATTTATGTGGATTTCTTGATGTTTTATGTAAATATGTCTTCTAGAAAGAAAGTTGTACATTTATGCTTTAATCTATATTCTGTTTTCTTTCTTTCTTGTTGCTTTATTGAGGTAGTTTCAACTTTTAGTGAGAGGGAACACCATTGTCTTGTTCCTGATATTACTGTGAAAATATTTGGTTTTCCATCATTAAATATGATGTTAGCTGTAAGTTTAAGACAGGGGGAAAAGACTAGAAAGGAATTCCCAGCGGCCAGCCTATATCCAACCCATGTGCCCCTCTATTGAACAGCTTTTCACAACTTTTATTAAGCAACAACTTCATGCCAAGCACTGAGCAAGGTATAGTACTTGAACCTGGACCTACAACTCAGGAAAGCACATGAATTCCATTCAAAATCCAATGAATCAATCTATCATCAGACCTCAAAGAACCTCACTTTTTTCATTTTTTTTCCAGAGAAACATTGTAATTCTGGTTCACCTGCACGATTGTTGGATTGTTGTTAGGGTCGAATGAAGTGATGTATACAGAAGTACATTTGGTAACAGTTAATTTCACCAATATAGTCTAAGTGATTTCATCCTTTCTCCCTTTTGTAATATCCCAGGATTGCACATCCTAGGAGCAAACTTTCTTTATGGTGATCCAGGGTTTCTCTCTTAAAAAGGTACTTTGCAGAAACTTTTCTTTTTCGATTTGTTTCCTTTACGTCCCACCCCCGGCCCCCCACCCAATGAAGACCATCCATTGTTGCAATAGAAAATTTTAAACAGCAAAGCAAAACAGAAACAAACAAAAATTCCCCACCATATAGCATAATCCCAGACCCTCATGATCCTATTCTAATGTCTGATTTATTTATTTGCAATTACGACCCTGCAATTAATGAAGTCTCACCTGAGGCAAATGCTGTGTTCTCTGTGTACTTACCTGGATCTTATTGATCCTGCCTGCTACTCACTGCTTTTATCCCTGTTAGTGCCAGTCTCATGTAGGTCACCACAGATTTCTCAGTTCTGCAGTATTTCAAATGAAAACCTCTCCAGAGCGCTTTTTCTGAACACTGAAATCCGGTGAGCGCCTGCTACTCTATAAATCATCAACCTAATTCATGGGTACAGCCTCAGCACACGTCAGCTCAGTTTTTGGCAGACTAGCTGTTTCCTGCCTCTTTCCCCATACTCGGAAAAGGTGGCGATAAATGACCCACCGGCCGTGTCTGGCACAGCGTGGCCGCTCCGCACCCTCTCCTCCTCTCTCCAGCGCCTCCAGCGCCTGCGGTCCGGTGCCCTCCAGGCCCAGGGCTGGGCGGGACTAAGCTCCCTCAGCAGGCGGACCGCCCTTGCCCTTGCCCTTGCCGCACCCAGCGGCTCCCTCTGGCTCTGAGCTGGAGCTTGTGCGCGCTGGGGTGTGTCCCTCCGTTTCCATCCTGTCATGCACCGGACAGCGGGCTGAAAAGGAGACAAAAGGGAGAAGGCAGAAGGCCAGGAGGACTCAGGCAGGCAGCAGCATGAAGTTCCTTTCAGCCCAGGTATTTACCACCAGGTGAGTCCAGGAGCGAGCGTGACCTGAGGAAGGGGCTCTGCCACCTGGACATGGGTCCTGCTGCAGGTCAGCAGGAAGCCAAGAAGAGGCAGTTTAGCTTCTTTACAATCCATCCTTTGTCTTTGGAGCTGCACAGCCTGTTTTTATGAAGTCTGGGGTGCTTCCTACGTCCAGAGGCCTAGGGGGTTCCTCGTGAAGAAGACCTATTTAGAATCCACTGGTAACAGAGGGACCAAAGAAGTGGAATGGGGTCAAGGAACCCGGGGGACTTTGTCACCAGGCAGTCAGTGTCCTTACATGAGTCCTATCTCATTGTTCACAGTCTGTTTCCCCCACTCAGTTTAAGTGTGAAAGCAACGAGAAAAAGCAGTCTGTCTCTGGGATGTGAGACCCAGTTAAAAACATAAAGTACTTGTACTCCTAACTAACTGGATTTACTGTCTTGGCAAGGCTAAGTGGTTTGACTAAGGAACACATCCATTCCCGTTCGCATGTCATTGAACCGAGTTGTGCAGATAGCAAATGAAGTGATTTATTGTAAGAAAACACTTTCAGAAGACTGATGTTCTTCTCTGGACCCAGATGGAACTTTTAAAAGGTAGTATTTGCATATAAATAAACGGGCAGATTTAAACTGCATAATTTAATGACTTTGACCAATGTATGTAAATTAAGAAATAGATGATTTTACCCCCTTTGCAGCTGACATGCTGTCCGAATTAAGATATATTAATATTAATATATATTAATAATATATATAGTATTTCACCATAGATTAATTTGGCTTGGTCTTTAATGTATTAAATAAAATAACTACAAAATATATATATGCTTTTTTGTCCAGCTCTTCCACTTAGTGAAAAATCTCTGAGATTCATCTAGTTTGCTTCCTTAGTGATTTGCTCTTTTTCACCGCTGAATACTACTCCGTTGAATGGATAGACCACAATGAATCAAGGCCGTTAAGAATATCTTTATAAATGTTGTCTGTGGATGATCGTTTTCAATTTCTTGGGAGTTGAATTTAGAGTTTGGGATTGAAATGGCTAGATAATAAAGTGTCATTTACCTGCATGAGAAACGAGCCATCTGCTTATGAAAATCATTGTGTTTTACTTCCACCGACAATATATGAGGTATCAGTTGATAAACAGTCTCAACAAATTTGTGTTTTCAATCCTTTAACTATCCTTCTTTTTACAAAGCTGAATGCTTTTTTAAGTTTGATAAAGTCAAAAATATTCATTCTTTATGGGTAGGGCCCCTTCTTTTCTGGTGGTAATGATGTTTTGTTGTCATTTAGAAAAACACTATTATTTTAGCCTATACTTTAGATCTGTAATCCAATCCAAATGATTATTTTTTGTGTTTAATGTGAGATACATTAAGAATTTTCTCCTAATAGATATACAGTAACTTTGTGAGCATTTGTTGAAAAGCTGTAACTTTTCCGCTGGATAGCATTGTTGTTTTATTTGAAGAATTTAAAAACAACAACAACAACAAACAAAGCTACCCACAGGCCAGGGTGGAACTGCCCCTGTGGTTTCCGAGACAGCACTTGTCTCTGGAGGCAGAAAGCCTGTCCTTTTCCCTGTAGTGGGCTTGGAACTGCGGGCCTTTGGGATCCGAGATCAACACACAATCATTACACCACCAGGGCACTTGACCATAATTCATGGGTTTATGTTTGAACTAATGATTGTATTTCATTGGTTGTACCTTAGGCTAATTGTTCAATGTATCGATTAATCTAGTTTAATGTAAATTCTTGAAGTACTGTGATGCAAAATGTATTCCTTTTCAGGATGGTTTGGCTTTTCTAGATTTTTGCAAAGTCACATACAGTTTACAACCAAGTTACCAAAGTCCACAAATTTATCAGATTAAATATTAATTAAATTGCACTGCATATGCCGAAAAATTGGGAGAATGAATGGCATAGAAATTATACAACCTAGTTAGCAATGAACCACATATCAGCCCTGGTGGTACAGGACATTAAATATTGGGCTGCTAACTGAAAAGCCAGCTGTTCAAACCTGTCCACTAATTGGCAGGAGAAAAGTGAGACAATCAGCTGCCATGCAGATTTACAGCCTCAGAAACGATATGAAGCGGTTTGACTCAGGCATGTAGGGGTCTTTTGAGATGAAATTGACTCCAACGCCCGGAGCTTAAGTGTCTCAAGGTTTGGCCCAGCTCTGAGCTGGATCTATCCTTTTATCTACTTAGATAGTCTATATCGTTTCTCCACCAAGTTTTGTCATTTTTTTGCATGGCAGACTTGCACATTTTTTCTTAAATTTAATCAGTGTATTTTATTTGCTTAATTTCATGGAATATGATATACTAAAATTTTAAAGGAGCAAAAAACAGGATTATCATCTCTGTTATTTTAAAATGTCTCCCATTATTTTTTGAAATACGCTTTTGTATGATATTAATAGAGGTACTACAGTGTGTTTTCTTTTTTCTTTCAAATCAGCAAATCTTTCTTTTCAGCCTCTTTTAACAACAATACTGTAATGGAGATTGTTTCTTCTCACCCCCTTTCACCCCCACCCCAAAGAAACGTATTTGAACTTTATCAGCTCTCTGTATTGAGCAGAAGTCCCATCTGTATCTTTAAATCAGGACTTCTCCCTTATATTGGTGGGGTTGGGAGTAGGATTGGAGGCATGAGTGCAGTAAGGTTCTTAGTCTGTACCCAAGAGCAAGGCTGGCATAAAACCTTTAAAAGAGTTTACCATTTTAAAGATTATGTATATATACTTCTAGGTAGCTTTTGCCAGAGAATTTTTTTACTTCTCCAGCTAAGAAAAGGATATACAATTTAAATGACATTCTTATTTCTGCAAAAAAAAATAATTTATGTGAAAGTTCTATCAGGAAAATGTGACTCTAGATACTTTACACTTAGTATTATTCACTACGAATTAATTTTCTCTAATCTCTTCACTATATCTTATTATCAGTGAATTCTTTTCTCCGACAGTGTATGCCTCAGTGGTTTTTACAACTTCAATCATGTTTTTATCTGTTATGAATATTTTAAAAATTATTCAAAAGAAAGATAATATTAATGAAGCCCTAATTATCTCATGCAAACAGATGCACATTAAAAACGGAATAAGTTAATGGAGTACAATAACTATTACATTGGGAGCACATTCGACTACAGGCCATAAAGAGAGGTTGGCATACTGCAGGTTGGCATACACGTTTCTTGCATGGGCTTGGGAGGCAGCATTGATGGATTTTGTACATATACAATTTAGCCTAATATACAAGTAATATCATTTCCACATCTCATCAATATAGCATACACTACTTTTTTGTACTAGGCCTTTCTCTTTTTGAAAACGTTTTATAAGCATAACATTACTAAGCCAGGGAATTTTTGATCAGTCAGGTTTACAAGTTCACTTTCCTACAATGAAATCCTATTTAGTTCATCAGCATCAACTCATAAGAAGTGTTCTACCTTAAGATGTTCTCATTTTACATCTTAAGTTTATAAAACAACTGTAATGCTTAGCTAGTTTTGAATTAACTCACAGATTTTTCTATACCGTTTGGATACTATCACTGCTTTTGTTGTCAATATATTTTCAAATTCTGGGGATTATTAAAATAAGACCATAGATGCAAAAACATGTTATATTACTAAATAACTTACTGTGTGGCTTTTGGTAGATGTTGTGTTTCTCATTGTTTTAAATAAATGTGGTAACTGCAACACAAAACACTATAGTCATTATGTAACAATTGTTAGCTGGCAGAGAGTCAGCCCCTAGCTCCTAGCCCAAGGAATGAAGCATGCCTTGTCCTGTGTCAATCTCTTGAACACTTGTGGAGTGGATCACTTGAGTGATAGAGTTCCGTGTGCTGATTTTTGGAAACATACCCCATTTCTTTCTTCTTAATTTTTGTGTGGAATCTCAGCTGAAACTGATTTAGGGTCATTGTAGCATGCAAGTTCCAAACAGGGGTGGCTACAGAGGGGGTGTTTTCTTGAGGTTAGACCTAGCTCTCCTATGTGGAGAGTCAGAACCCTACACCAAACCAAACAGTGTTACTTGTATCCTACCTTCAGTTTTAAAATAAAAATATGCAATTTAAGTATGAAATCTTCTATTACATTTTGTCTGTTTTCTCCTTGTAACCCTTTTTAGCAACTTTAGAAGCTGAAACAATATTGCAGTTATTAGTCCCATAGATTTCCCCATAGTGGAAACCACTAGGTCCCCTAATTATTGTTTCTTTGTTTGTTCTGCAGTTAGTATTCAGCCTTCAGAAAACTAGTAATATGTATATATTTCATTTAATCATGACAATTGGTTCTTCCCCTCAAAAGCTGGCCTATAAACTCAGTAAAATGAAATTTAATGGCATGAAACATATAGGTAGAAACAACTGTGGACAAATAAAGTAAATGTGTCAATTTAGTAGCTGTGCTTTTAAAATAATTTCATTCTGTAGAAGTATGCCATTGCTATTACAGCTAGTATACCATGCTATTACAGTAATTTGTTTCAGACCCAAAGAGTCTAAGTGTTTAAAAGGGAAAAAAATCTCCAGTAGTGGACCCAGGAGGGGCTAGAGAAGACTGGTCTTTAATCGGCTGTGGCTTTGTGATGTATTTCCACTCTGGGCTCATTTGATGCATTAACCTGTACAGTAAAACCGGCAAGAACCTGAGTCTGGAGAAGGTGGAAAACTGCCGAGGAAGGAAAACAAATATTTTCCACTAAAGAAGAAAAGAAGTCGAGCTCACCTGGGTTAGGGCCAAAACTTGTGGGACCTGGAAGAACAAGGCGGTCTGGACAAGTTCCAGCTTTCCCAGTTTTCACTGTCCATGGTTGGTGAAGACGGAAACACAGTAAGCAAGTAAAGTAGACTCCAGACCTCAACGCTAATCCATTCTCAAAGGAGTGTCGAAATGCGATGCAGTCGAGTTCTGAATCAATTTTCCCATAAGAAATAACTGAAAACCG